TTATTGGTGATGCTTTCAGCATCTTCTCATTTGTTGTGATTGGCGTTGCACTTTGTCAGGGATGGATACCTAGAGTTCATTTTCACCACCTTGCTGCCCGAATGGGAATGGCTCCCGGTTATAGAGCCCCTTTCAGATTCCAAGCCCCGCTTCAGAGAGAACTGCTTTATGGTTGCCAAAGCGTGGCTGAGGCTCAAGTAGGGTTGTCTATGTCCGAACTGAACAAATTCTTCCTTGGCAGGGCAAACTTCACTGGTAGTGACATAAGGGTTGTAAGTGGCGACGTGCTCAACCCTAGATGTTTTCCAAGACAACCTGTTTGTGCTCGGTGGTGGCATTGGTCGCATTGCTTCAAAGTTAAATGGACTTCTCGGTCTCACATCAACTTGTTAGAGCTTAAAGCGATTGTTCTAAGTCTTCAACGTGGAATTGAGCGAGGTAAGTGGAGCAATTGTCGGATCTTCCACGCAACAGATTCATATGTCGCCATGAGTGTCATTAGCAAAGGTCGAACCTCTAGTGTGATGTTGAACCGTTTGTTGAAGAAGCTTAACGCAATGTTGCTACTCCATGGCATCCAGCTCCTGATGACACATGTAGAGAGCTCGGAAAACCCAACTGACGAGGCCAGTCGAGCATGGTGAGAATCCATGCTAGACTCATCCACCGTACGACGCGAAAACAGCGTCGGGCAGCTCGACAGGGAATAACTTTAGCAGAAGCGGGAATTAGCGAGCGAACTAAGCAAGGCTTTTTGAGTGCTTTGCAGAAGTTGTTGCCGGCCATTGAGGGAGTCGAGACCCCTTCACAACTTGATCTTGCAGTCGCCAGTTGGCTTGAAACAGCTTGGGAGGATGGAGAAACATTGTACGTTGTTTCCAATGCCTTGTGTGGGCTTCATTTCTTTGAACCGTTGACAAAGCATTGCACCCCGAGCGCTTGGCGTTTATTTGCCACCTGGCGGAAACTTGAATGGCCTTCTCGTGCACCTCCGCTTACGTGTAGCATTGTCAAGAGCTTAGCAAATTATGCAGTGAGCCATGGCGATCTCTTTTTCGCTGCGCTTTTGTGTCTGGGGTTTTACGCCCTGTTGCGTACGGGCGAACTCTTGGCATTGCGAGGCACGGATATCCTTTGCAGTTCAAAACAGCTTGTCTTATCCCTTAAAGGGACAAAGTCGGGACAGAGGAACTCCGCAGACGAAACAGTTGCTGTTGAGGATCCGTTTTGTATAATGATCTTGCAGACCGTGCTTGATATTCTTACATCTCGACAAGCTCTCAGTCATCGTTTGTGGGAGTTCTCCAACCAAAGTTTCAGAAATCATTTTGAAGCGTACATGAAAAGGTTTCATCTTGAGCACCTCCTTTTCCGCCCATACTCCCTCCGGAGGGGGGGGGCCACGCATCTTTTTCAGGTTTCCGGAAGCATGGAGCTTGCATTGGTCAAGGGTCGTTGGACCTCAAATAAGGTGGCCAGGGTCTACATATCCGATGGCCTCAGTAAGCTTCCTGATCTACTTCTTGATTCCAACACCCGTCGATTGCTTGACTCCTGGTACCCCCGTTGAAAACAACGGAAGGGGAGGTCGTGGAAGGTGCGCCTAGATGCGCTAAGTCGCGCTGAAGCGCGCTGGTG